TTTTATCTTATTTGTCATGGTGATTTACAATATAGCCTAATGTATGTCATTTTGTAAATGCAGTACGGCAGTCGTTCATAAGTCTTGTCCATCAAAAGGATCAAATCAAGAGGAGATTTTCATTTCGTGCTGAAAGGACACAGGTGGCTTGGTTGACGGTGTGTAAAGAGATTTTATTTTGTAGCAACTACTGTTCCTGTACTTTGTTGTGTGTACTATGTGTTTTCATCCAGTGGGTGGCGATATTGTGTTTTTTTTTTTTTTACTTTTGTTCTGCGCTGTATCTAGAAAAGGTCCTTCAATCTGTTACTTCAAACCCATTTGGGGTCTCTTAACCAACTCCATCCAAACTACAGAACAGAACTTTAACGATACTCATGTAAAATATTGTGTTTTTGTGTTTCATCGAAGAGTAATATGTAAGAAACAAGGGCTCTTAAATTGCTACATAGAAAGTGAAATCACAGATAAATACATGGCTCGGAATGTAAAAAGGCCAAGATTTGTAAGGTCAGTGTAGACTATTGGTGGTGATAGCACATTTAGATTTGATGCAGTCTATTTCCAGTTGTGCACACTAGCTGAGAGGGTAATATTTAAAAGAACATTTTATGGAAGTCTAAATTGTTATCCTGTTGGCTATGATATTTTTATATGGGTATGAATGCCTAGTTTTATTTACTCACTAATAAAACCAATATTGCTCTCAAAAACACTCATTATGCTGCAAAATATGATATAATACACCAAAGTTACTCTTAAAATGCCATTCTTAACATTTGAATGAATCAGACTGCTTTATAATTCATCTACAGTCCTCAGCATAGTTGAGTACATCCCATTTTGAAAATGAATATTTTGATTCATTTCTCAGTGAATATAGGTGGTATTTTGGTGCATTAAAACCAGCTGATTTATTAAACAGATATATTTATTAAAATATTATTTTAGTCACCAAACATATTTAGAAATTTAAAGAAAATACAAATAATTTCAAGCAAAATATTGCAAAACAAAATTACAACCCACAAAATTTCAGCTAAATCTTTTTATTAATTTATTTATTACTTCTTGATTTTTCCTCTTTTTTAAATTTGTATTTAATATTTTTCTATAACATAAATTTGGCTGTACTAGTTTATGGATCGTAATCATAAGTTATTTTGTTAGATAAGTTTCAGATTTGGCTTCAGTACTGATTAATGTATATGCACAAATATAATTTTGTTTTGCTTCCTATTAAACATGAATTGAAAAGACAGATTTGTGAGGGGTGTATGTATATATGCTGAGCACTGTATATTGTTGGGTAAATTCTAATATTCAGACATCGCCTGTTAAATTAGTTAAAAGGTATATATTATTCATGTATTCTTAATGTAAGTGGAGCCATGCCTTCCGATTTGCCTGCATAAAAATCAGTAGGCCTACTCATTTTCATGATGGATTTTTCAAGAAACAGGAACAGTTTTGGTTTAGATCTCAAAGTGCTTCATTAGTTGTTGTTTTTTTTCTTTTTTTTTTTTTTTGCTTAGTAGGTCTCATAGGGACATTCTGGAGATGTTTTAAATGGAAACTGGACTACTGTATGTTGAGCGCTTCTCCTCTCTGAAGACAAAATTCTTTCTGTGTTTTGGATGGTGCCTGCTTAAATCTTCAAAAGCCATTGTCAAAGTGAACTCCACTGGCCTGTCGGTGACTGCTCAAAGTGGCCAATCACTGCATCAGAGCTCTGGGACTCTTCATCAAGGGCCGTGATGAGAAGGAGCTCATCTTTCTGACACACTAGAAAGGGTTGATGTCTGTTGCATGTCACGCAAGCATCTGTTTGTACGTTGATGTTTTCAATCATTGCCAAGTTTTTGGTTTTCTGTAAAAAACAAACAAAAAAACAAAACAAAAATGCTTTAAATATTTTCATGTGTGACAAGTGCCAAAATAAAGTGACCTCTTCTTGTGGCAATGTATTGATTCACATGGTGGTTTTAATAATTGTTATAATGCATTCATTCAGCTTAGTCTCTTTGTTCATCAGGGCTCGCCACAGTGGAATGAATCGGCAACTTTTCCAGTGTATGTTTTACACAGCGGATCCCCTTCCAGCTGCAACCCAGTACTAGGAAACATCCGTACACATACACAACCATACACAACTTATTCACACACATACACCACGGCTAGTTTGGTATATTCTCTTCACCTACAGGCCTGTAGCCAGACTGGTGAAAAGGGTGGTTCTTTTTTTTTCTCAAAAAGTGGATCTTTTTGTGGTTATAGGCCTCATTTAGGCTACTATTTAATTATGAGATTTAAATACCGCATTTTAGTGACATTTTAAGCCCTATTTTAGCTAAAGCAGATTGTTGGATTGTCATCATAACCAAAAAAGTACATTTGACAGCTCGTGGATAATAACAATAGCCAAAATAGTATTTAAAGTCATTTTAATATTTGTCGCTTTTGGTGCTTCATACCTTTTCATTGGTCTTTTTTTTTTTTGTTCCAAGATATAGAATTTTCTCTATTTAAAAACAATACAGTAGCGAAAGATAACTTCTCTTACGTCAGATTGTATGTTTTCTTGCACAGCTGTTTATTAGACTCATGAAAAACATTTGTTAGCAATGGCCAAAACTGATTAGCTGATTAGTGTGACTGATAAGCCACACTGAAGCGACAACCGACAGAGAATTCCACGTGGTCTTAGAACCTTTTTTTGACGGGTTTTTTTCACTATTTATGATGGCATAGCAGTCAAAATCGGACAAACGAGCTCATGTATGGGACAAATTCTGGACATTTGTCAGTGAGGGCTGGGTCTGGGTCGGTGCTAACCACTGAGCCACCGTGATGCCCCATTATTATAATACATTTTAATTTTTTATTACATTTACATTTTTTTTAAGAAAATACAAATTTAAGTCACAAAATAAATACAATCATAAAATAAAAATTTCTAGCCACAAAGCAATAAATAACCCGGTGAATCAGCAAAAAAAAAGACCTCTAGCCTACATGGTGTTTTATGAATATCTTAACTGACCGTGTTTGGCATATGTTTTTTCTTTCCCTTATTTATTTATTTTTTGGCGCATGTAAATTACTCATGTGCGATCTGAAAACTAGTGTAATGGTGGCACACCATCTTTACCAGACTTGGGCAAACTCCACCTTTGCTTACACTCCGCCCCGAAGCCTCAGATGGCTCACTTTGGCCCAAGGTATTCGGTGGGCCAAAAAAAAGGGGCGACCGCTGGCCCTGAGGAAACCCCGCTTTAACCCAATCAGGCCCAAGAAGTGACTGAGGAAACGTGACTGGCCCTGGCTTGCACTGCTTGCTTTAGGTCTCGTGTTGGAAACGTGAATTGTCTGCTCATTGTAGACAGCATCTGATTGGACAAAAACGTATCTAGTGCATTATGAGTCATCAATATTTTTGGTCTGTTTTGTTAAAGCAACAAATGTGCTAAAATAGATTTTTTTTTTGGTCATATTTAAGCATAAATTAAAACAAAAATCATATCAACACAGCAAAGACAGTAATGATGATTATAATAATACAATTTCAACAAAACCTACCTCTCATTCTGACCTGCTTTAGAACTATCTATCTATCTATCTATCTATCTATCTATCTATCTATCTATCTATCTATCTATCTATCTATCTATCTATCTATCTATCTATCTATCTATCTATCTATCTATCTATCTATCTATCTATCTATCTATCTATCTATCTATCTATCTATCTATCTATCTATCTATCTTGAAACAAGTATAGTAGTAAATTAAAATGGTGAGTGGACCTGTAACCAGGAACTGTTAAAGGAATATCTTCTGTTGAGCACAAAGCATATTTTGAAAAGAGCTGAAAACTATTGTTTTTCAGACTATGGTTGTGGATACAGCTATACAGCTTACTTCAAAATGTCTTTATTGTGTTCAACAGAAAAAAGAAATTCATAACCACACGAGCGAGAGTGAGTACATTTTCATTTCTGAGCAATTATTAATTATTCACTCTGTTTATTTGGTACTTCATTTTAAGGCAACAACTGGGTTTACTCACTTTTAAAATCACTTTAAAGTTAAGTCAACTAATGGCTTTTTTCGTGTAATCCTAGCTTATTTTGGATATACTTCCTAATCTGCAATTGCCTCTCTGAATATCACACTAACTGTACCCAAAAAAAAAAAAATAAAAAAATACTAATACACTAATACTTCCCTTCTTAGACTTTACAGACCTGAAACTTGCCTATAGCACTTATTCATTGTTGCTCTTAGTTGTGTAAATTGCTTCCTTGTCCTCATTTGTAAGTCGCTTTGGATAAAAGCGTCTGCTAAATGACTAAATGTAAATGTAAATATACTGTAGTCTATTTTCTATTCAGTACCACAATGCCGTCACATTTATTTTCTTATTTAGAATAGGAATTTATTTAATTTTTTATGAATTATTTATTCATCTATTTAAAATAAAATTGATGAATAAATTAATTAAAATGTGTCCGAATCTTAAGTTTAAAAAATGCCTTATGCCATTCTCATTCACAAAATAACCTGTAAAAAATACTGGATCCCACACAATTCCTTCATACCAACACAAATTACTTAAGTTAACTTAATTTTTTTTTTTTCAAAAAAAAAAGTTGATTGAATATTACAAAAAAAAAGTTGTCCCCAAAAAAATGTAATAACTGTGTTGTTTCAACTCATTTTAAATTAGTAGTTTGAACAAGCAGTCATTTGAGAAGTCCTTTTTTTTAACTGTGACAACAGAAATCGATTAAGTTAACTTAATTCTTTTTACAAATTAAAGTGGATTAAACATAAAACAATTAAGTTGTTTCCCCCCCCCCAAAAAACTCAAGAACTTTGTTGATTTGGCTCATTTTAAATAAGTAGTTCGAACAAGCAGCAAAAATAAAAAATAAAAATAAAAAAATCGTTTGTTTGGTGTGTAGTCGGTATGGTAAGATGACAGGGGTGTAGTGCATGGATGGAGGAGCTCAGGCTGAACTTCAGCTGTTTTGTGAAAAACCCTCCCCGCGCGGCCGCCAGTTCAGCAGCTCTCGAGTCTCGCTCTCTCAGTCGGCGCGGGCTGGAGATGAAGATGGCGGAGAGGCAGTGCGAGATGCGTTTACGAAGCATCAAAGTTCTTTCCGCGGCGTTCTTTTCATTCGGATTCTAGAAACCGGCACCGAAAGCAACCATTTAAAACGGTAAGGCGATGCTTCCCGAGCGCTGTGTTGCATGCGTGAAGTGTAGGGCTGTTTGCTTTCACTGGAAACACACACACACGCTGGTTTGGCGTTGACTTCACTTGCAATGTGGCAGTCCGATAGATGCAGGAACGGCTCATCTCGCCTTAAGGTTTAGCAAATATAAGAATGAGTGTTGCATGACTCGTTTCATCAGCTGGGTAGGGGCGTTTGTAGATTAAAGACAAATCAGTGCTATTTGTTTGCAAAGTTGTGATGTTCAGCTGTAGTCTACTGAGACCATCGCTTTCTATATGGCCAGTAGTACACTATGTGGGGAGAGACCTGTCAGCATGTTTAAATGTCACTGGAAAGAGGTTTGATCAGTTTGTAGGTTTTGTTGAGATTTTATAACCCAATATTTGAAGTAAATTGGTTGTTACCCAAAAAATACCAATAAACGTTCTTTTAGGTGTCTATTTAATCTCTGTAATGTGTGTGTTTATTGACTCAAAAATAGATATTATGTATTATAAATGATAAATAATACGTTTGATTAGGCTAATCACTGTTTTAGGATGCAGATGTTTGCTAATTTATTTAATAATGGGACTTTTACAATTTAAATTGATTTAAATTAAATTGAAATTGTGTGACTCTTTTCATCAGCTGGGTATGTACAATATGAAATTGAGGTAAAGTTGGTTTTATATTTGCACATTCGTTCAGTAACTTTGTGACATGTTTACCATGGTATTTTGAATATTCAGACTTAAATCACATGTAAATATGTCTTCAAAACAACATTAGCACTATTTATTTGATTGAACAATGTTGTGCACTGATAAACATAAACATTGACTGCTGATATGATTTATCTATTTAGAGTTCTGAAATTATGTTATTAAGGAGATAATCCGATTGTGTGAATATAAAACCAACTTCACCTCAATCTGCATGAAGGGGCATTTATAGATTCAAGACAAATTAGTGCTATTTGTTTGCAAAGTTGTGATGTTTAGCTGTAGTCTATAGTCTTGAGACCCTCACTTTAAATGGCCAGTAGTACACTATGTGGGGAGAGACAACATGTTTAAATGTCATTGGAAAGAGGTTTTGTTAAGATTTTATAACCTAATATTTGAAGTAAGATGGCCGTTACCATAAAAAACTGTTGTTTTTAGATGTCGATTTAATCTCTGTGATAATGTGTGTATATATCATCAGAATATATCTCAAAAATAGATATTATAAATGATAAATAATAAGTTTTAATAGGCTAATCACTGTTTTGGGATGCAGAAGTTCATACAATTTAAATTGAACTAATAACTGAAACAATAGCTTCCCCCAAAATTAAAAATCAGCCAATAATTGTTTTTTTCTGTTAAACAAAAAATAAGATACTTTGTAGAATGTTGCAAACATGCTTTCCATAGTAGGAAAAACAAAAATGTCAGTGGTTACAGGTTTCCAACATTCTTTAAAATGTCTTATTCTGTCTTTGATATAAAATATTTTAAAAATGGTTTGGAACAAGTAAAGGCTTAGTAAATGATGGCAAAATTAAAATTTTTGGGTGAACTATGCCTTTAAGATGAACATTTCATTTTTAAGAATGAGTATGTTATTTAAATCACCTTGGAATTAAAAATGATAAATAATAGGTTTTAATAGGCTAATCCCTGTTATAGGATGCAGAAGTTTGCTTATTTATTTATTAATTGGTGTTAAATTAACAATTTAAATTGAACTAATTACTGAAGGAATAGCTCACCCAAAAATTTAAAGTCAGCCATTGTTTTTTTTTCTGTTGAACAAAAAATCAAATTGCCTTTCATAGTAGGAAAAACAAATACTATGAATGTCAGTGTTTACAGGTTTCCAACATTCTTCGAAATCTCTTATTCTGTCTTCAACATAAAATATGAAAAATGGTTTGGAACAAATAAAAGGTGAGTAAATCATGGCAGAATTAAAATTTTTGGGTGAACTATCCCTTTAAGATGCACATTTCATTTTTAAGAATGAGTATGTTATTTAAATCACCTTGCAATTATCCTGAAATAATTCTACACTTTAGGGTTTCAACAAATGCTATTGGCGAGCTGTACTGATATATGAACTGATAAAATACTGTTGTAACCAGTTATTGTTCTATCCCTATTATAAAGGATCTTTTGTTGCATTTGATCCAAAGCCCCAACAAACCGGTGTACAGTGTCTTTGTGCTAAAACATGACTTGTAATAGTTTTGCTGTTGGCATTTGGGGTATTGTCAGCACGCAGTCTATGATATTCCGCCAAGGTGTGTGTGGGAAGTTTCCTCCTGACGTGTTTTGTTTTGTCTCGCCTCTGATTTGCACATCAAAAAATGTCTTTTAGAGAGCCGATCCAAAAGGGAGATGTTCTGATGAAGTTTGCTGTCATCCTAACATAAGACTATCAGCTAAACGACATATTTCAAGATTGGATTTTTGAGAAGCTCATTAAATCTCTCTGTTTTAAGGGAATAAGTAGACTGTGTGATTAGGAAAGCATCTGTTTTCTTGCTTGTGAGGCTCACGGCAAGATAGTTTCACTGAATGTGCGTTCAAGCACACCCATATGTGTGATTTTTACAACATTAATTATGAGACGAATAAAAATTAGGCCGGTTTTAATGCACTTCTGATAAGATGTTGGTGGTTCCACGTTAAAACGAATAAATCTAGAGTGAAAAGACACAAAAGAATGCAATGAAGGAAGAAATGACTATTGCTGGTGGAATCAGTTATGGCATATTTGGAACGAAATTATAAAAGTCCTGTATTTTTTTCGACATTTCAACTTCAGCTCGGTAATTACATTCAGCGGCTATTGAAGTAGGAGAAGAGAGGAATAAAAGAGCTTCCGCCTCCTTTGAAACGAACCTATTAATGCCTCTCGTTCGAATGAGGAACCCAATGAGTGCTGGTCGGAGAGCTGAAGAAGAATACCAGTCATTGAGTGCCTCATTGATGTCCTTGATGAGTCAGATATAATTAAACATTGTTGCTCGTGGGCTTCATTCTCCAGGATGTAATTTGCTTCATGAAGAGCTTAATCAGTGCTCAATAAAAGTGGAGCCAATCCAGATTACGTGCTTACTGTATAAATAGGCCTACCTTATCTACTCTTGACAAGCACCTCCAATCTGTCATACCTTTAACTCATTTTTCACATGCACAAATCAATTATCTTTTTTTAATGTAATGCACTACCGTGCACAGTTGATACTGATTGTTGACATTAGGGCTGCACGATATTGGAAAAATCTGACAATGCAATATTTTGTTTTTCAGCATTATTTATTGCGATATCAATACCATTTTACCAGATGACTTTAATAGCTTTATCTAGAAATATTTCATTTATTCAGTTTGATTATGATTTGCATACAATTTCATATACAAATTTCCATTATTGGTAGATACAGTACACATGAAATAACCAGTACTTTACCATTTTCTTGGGAGTTTTAATTGTATTCGGCTACAGAAATGATATAATCTAATAAAAAATGGCACCATGTAGTCCTCATCATATTAATAATTCCATACATTTAACCTTCATTTAGTTATAGTTTTGAATGCTTTACACAAACTCCTCACACAATCATAGGCCTTAAAAGCACTTGTAAATGATACATTTGTACTCTATAATGGTTAACCTTTGCAACCGTGGCTCCTGGTAAAAAAAAAAAAAAAAAATCAACTGTTGTTTATGCGCACATCGCGATATTGATGCTGGCACGATATATTACACAGCTCTAGTTGAGAGTTCATTTGAAGTCAGGTGGACTCTACAGGCTTTTCAACAGTTAGAATAGGTGCGTCAACAAAGCATGTCTTTTTCTTTGTTAATAAATCAAAACCTGCTTTAGTGAATGAAATGTAATCCTTACTATTCAAACCATGCCTATGGCACAGTAGTCTTGATTGTTTGATTTGGTTCCTGACTTTCAAGATACGCATTAGCTTTGTTTAAATACACACTATCCTTGTTTCACCAGCAGCTCTCTGCAATTCTCACATGATTGCCCACTGAAGCTAAGCATGGCTGTGGTTGGTCAGTATCTGGATGGGAGACCACAGGGAAAGCTTGGTTGCTGCCGGAAGTGGTGTTGGTGAGGCTCAACCTACATGTTTTGTGGGTCCTAATGTCCCAGTATATTGATTTGGACTGCTCACGTATAATCGAAGTCCGACTCTCTGTGGTAATTAAAAATCCCAAGATGTCCTTCAACAAAGAGAAAGGGTTTAACCCTGGCATCCTGGCCAAATGTGCCCACTGGCCTCTGTTCATCATGGCCTCCAAACCATCCCCATATCATAATTGGCTGCTTCACTCTGGCTGTTTCTCAATTACAATATCACAGAGAACAGACTTGCGTGGAGACCGGTCTTGCTAGGTCACCTCGGAAAAACGAACTTGAAAGACCGCGAGAACACAGTACGCATCCTCTGAGAAATGAGATGGTCACATGACCTCCACACGTTTTTAATGAAAAATTATTTAAACATTACAGCATTCATACAACGATTTATTGTTTTTCCTCTTTTCACAATATATACTATATATATATATATATATATATATATATATATATATAAATATAAAGACCTTACAAATATACGTTGCACAATATAAATAAAACAGATTTTGATATGAATTTCAGCAAATGAACACTCTTAATCTGTTTTTTCCTTTATTAAGATTTTTATGGTATTGTTTATATTTACCTTTTCATTTAGGAAAACTCCTCGGGTAAATAAGTCAAATCTCTGAACTTTAATAACAAACCTATATAAAATGCTCTGCTTCCCACCTCCAGTCACAAAGACTTTTGGGACTTCTAGAGAGCGAGTTCGGTGCTCAAGTCTGCATCCATACGTCTTTTATCAAAAACACATCTGGGAAGTTTCATGCGTCCTCCGTTCTTGCAATCTTGAGTATTGGAACTGAACTTTGGCAGTTGATGATGACGTTACATGAGAACA